ACCCAAGGTTATTAACATTAACCTCTTAACCTGCTATAAATTCGTCTAGCCCATTCACATCCTAATCCAAGTCCAGTTCAAATTAATCAAAGTCCTGTTTACTTAAGGATTTTCATATAAGGAAGTTTTGCATGGGAAAAGTCTTGCGTGGAAGGAATTACAGAAGGAAAGAACTTTGTAGGTAAATAATTATATATGGAATGAATTAGAGGACAAGTAAGGTGAATCCTACCATAATTCTACCATCTTTTTGTATATAAATAGAAGTATAGACCTCCAATAAAATTCATGAAGCATTACAAGCTTTTCTTTGAATTATTCTTGTTAATTGTTCTTTTATTTTAAGTGAGTTGTATTTATTCTTTTAGCTTTTTGGTTAAATGAATTTTTGCACCTACAGAAAGAAAACTTTATTCATTTCTCAAATGTATATATATCATCTAAAATATAAGAATGAGCCGATATATATATATATATATATTAATGCACTCATTCCTGCAAGTTGTTGTGTACATTAATATTCATTTCTCAAATGTATAAAGAATACAAGTTGTTATGTACATTAATGCACTCCTTCCTACATGCGTCCTGGTAATCATTACAAATGCAATTTACAAATCAACTTTCAAGGATTGTGGACCCTATATTATGTATAACCCTCTTCATTGGGGTCCACAATACTACACTAAGAATATGCCTCGTTAAAATATTGGTAAGAAAGTGAGAAAAAACAATAGCAAAGGAAAAATAGTACAATATTCTTGTGTGTCTGAAAATGGTATTACATGGGTTTGAACTGCCTCATTAAAACCTTGTCAGGAAAACCAGTGAGACAAAATCTGGGCAAAGAAAAAAGAATACAGTATACCAGTACATTTTCAATCAGTTGTTCCCCCTCATCAGTATGGTTATTGCATTAGTTCATTATGACAGATCTTTGAGTTGATTCCTCCTGATGCTTTGATATAACTTCCTTTGATCTCATGAATTGCAAATGTCTCAGAATGATCGAAAGAAGGTACAGTAATTGTCTGCTTTATAGATCGTCAAGATGTAACAATGCTTGCTAATAAGTTGATTGAAAAGCTATGTTAGGCAATGTGCAATTTGTAAAATATATAAGAGCACTGATCGCACTGAGATATGGTATTTCACGGCCAAGAAGTTCTGTATTATCCTCTTGAATAAAAAAAAATAATAAAATAAAATAAAATAAAATAAAAAGACCTTTCTGAATATCAAGTGATCGGATAACCATTGGAGAACTTAAAGATTGAGTTTTATCCATATAAACGAGCTTCAGGACCATTCTGTATATGTCCATTGGGGGATGAGAATTCCACTTGATAAATGTTCAACCTACATATCGAGACAATTTTTCTTTCCGAGATTTTCCTCTTGAATTTTTTCTCTTTAGCCTTATAAGTTCTTCTGGGATTCCCACAAGATTCAGATTATCAACCTACACTTTCTTTTAGTAAGTACCCACTAAGGCAATTATACCATATGCGCCTAGATTGTTTTAATCCGTACAAGGATCGTTGCAATCTTATCGATTACGTACTAAGTGGTTTTATTTTAGGCATTTTAAATCCTTTAGGGATTGTCATATAAATGTCACTATCTAGTGATCAATTTCGATATGTCGTAACCATATCCATTAGATGCATATCCAGTATTTTTGTGACTGCCAAATTAATTAAGGATCAAAATGTGATTGCATCCATTATAGGAAATTGTGTCTCCTCATAATCAATTCCAAGTCTCTATCAGAAACCTTGAGCTATCAATCGGGTCTTATATCTCATAATTTCATTATTCTCATTATGTTTTCATACAAAAACCCATTTGTACCCAATAGGCTTAACACCTCTTAGGTGTCATACTTGACGCCTCTCAAGTGTTTGGATCATAGGTCCAAAGACTTTTCATCTAGCTACTGCAGTTAGCTTTGCCTTTATAGCTCTTTTTTAATGATGGCCAATCATGTCTCCGTCAACTTTCTATGACATTTTGAGGTTCCGGATCCTCAATAATTATATTAAGAGCAACTGTGTGTGAGAATATGTTGTCCACGACAACTTCACTTTTATTCCATCTCCTTTCATAATTCATTGAGATCTCATTATTTTCTGGTACCTTTGCAACATTATCATAGTTAGGTAACTTGACCTCGTCAGGATTTTAAGCCTCATTAGGTCCCTTTGCTACATCAAGGGCATATGCCTCATCAAAGGTAATTTTATCACTGTTAGCTAATTGGGTATCTTTAGGAACACCCATTTCATACTCTATCATGCTCTTTAGCATTTGCCTTATTTTATCACTATTAGCTAACTAGGCCTCTTTAGGAGTACCCATTTTATTATGCACCTTTTCTAGTGCTTTTCTCTTTTAAGGAACAGAATCTTTTGCATCGACTGGTCTCTACGCTTTATGCGTGCTTTAGATGTATTTGCAACACTAACAAACTATCCCACTGGGATGTCAATTCTTGTTGAAATATTCGTAGCTAGCAAATATGATTTTATTACTTTCTTTGTGCCAGTGAATGCATTTGGTAATTGATTTGCAATATTTTGCAAATGAATGTTCCTTTGGACTTCTTATTCATATTGATTTGTACAAGGATTAAATTGAGATAATTTTAAAGCATTCCAATGTAACGACCCACTCCACCACATGGTATGATATTGTCCGCTTTGGGCCTGAGCCCGCACGGTTTTGCTCTTGAGCTATACCCCAAAAGGCCTCATAGCAATTGGAGTGACACACCTACATATAAGTACTTCATCTTTCCCTTACCCAGGCAATATGGGATTGTGCACCCGTAGCTCACCAGTGTGGTAGCCTGTCAGTGTCTCGCACTCGCCCATGAAACAAGGAAGGCCAGTAAAACCCACTTTGAAGGACTTTGTCAGCGGTTTTCTTGGCACTAAAGTGTCCTCCACATGCAAAAGTGTAGCAAAAATTTAGGACACTTGAGAATTCGGTTTCGGGAATGCATCGCGGGATGATTTGGTCCGGGCAATACTTGAATAATTCCAGATCTTCCCAAAAGAAATTTTTGACTTAGGAGAAGAACCGGTCCTTCTCTTGTTTGGACCATTTGGACGGAATTTTTCCTACCGTAAGGTAGTTGACAATATTCGTAAACCAAGGAAGACTTGAATGAGAAATCTGAAATAGTTGCTCATCCGGGAAGGAATCATGAACTGCAGCAAATTCAGAAGATTTCTCAATGAGTAAATGAGAGAGATGGTCAGCGACGACATTGTCTGTCCCCTTTTTATCTCAGATTTCAATGTCAAACTCTTTGAGTAATAGTATCCATCGAATTAGGCGGGGCTTGGTCTAGTTTTTGGGAAGCAAATGCCTAAGAGCGGCATGGTCTGAAAAGACAACGACCTTGGATTTAAGAAGGTAAGAACAGAATTTATCCAAGGCATACACCACAGCTATCAATTCTTTTTCAGTGGTGGTGTAATTCAACTGGGCATCAGAAAGCATTTTGCTAGCATAATTAATAGCATGTGGTAGCTTGTCCACACGCTGGCCAAAAACCGCACCCAATGTATAATCGGATGCATCACACATGATCTCAAATGGAAGAGACCAGTTAGGCGGTTTCATGATTGGGGCTGAAGAGAGAAGAGTACGGAGCTTCTTAAAAGCTTCCAAACAGTTATCATCAAAATTGAAGATTACACAAAGGCCGAGATATTTTGCTAAAATCTTTGATGAAGCGACGATAAAAGCCGGCATGACCCAGAAAGGAACGGATTTGTTGGACAGAATTTGGAGGAGGAAGATTAGAGATCAATTAGACTTTTGCCTTGTCGACCTCAATTCCCCTTTTAGAGATAACATGTCCCAAGACAATACCCTCTTAGACCATAAAATAACTCTTTTCCCAACTTAGAATCAGATTTGTCTCCTTGCATCTTTGAAGCACAAGGGATAGATTGTGGAGACAGGAGTCAAAGGAAGATCCAAAGACGGAAAAATCATCCATGAATACTTCCAAGAACTTTTCTACCATATCGGAAAAATATGGACATCATGCACCTTTGGAAAGTTGCCAGTGCATTGCATAGCCATAGGGCATGCATCTATAGGCAAAGGTTCCGAAGGGACATATGAATGTGGTCTTCTCTTGATCTTGAGGCTCAATTGCCACTTAGTTATAACCGAAATAACCATCAAGAAAATAATAGTAACTTTGGCCGGCTAGCCTCTATAGGATTTGATCAATGAATGGAAGTGGGAAATGATCCTTCCTAGTGGTAGAGTTGAGTTTTCGGTAGTCAATGCACACATGCCACCCGATGATGGTGCGTTGTGGCATGAGCTCTCTCACTGAATTTTCAACAACGGTGAGGCTGGATTTCTTAGGAACAACTTGAGTGGGGCTTACCCACAATTATCGTAAATCAAAAGTTTTCAATGACCTCCTTCTTGGACTATCCATATATAAAAGAATAAGAAACTACATATAAAATGACCTAACTCTTAGACCATCCATATTATGCTTTTAGTTATTATTCCATAGTTTAAAAGAAGTTTCCCACCTACTTCTCCATTTTATTTTAGTGTACCTTTCAACGTAATTAGATAGTAATTTCGTGTTACACTAATGTTCCGTTTGTTTCGACAAAAAATATTTATTTTTTTTCAGCTAAAATATTCTTTTATTTTTACTAAATCTGTGTTTGGCAAAAGTTTATGTTGAGATCGAGATCGAGATCGAGTCCATCAGATGGGACATGTAATATAATTTGTCAAAAATTTTATAAATATTTTACGTAATCAAATACCAAAAAAATAAAAAAAATATTTTTTAAAAAAATGTTTAGTTCCAAACAAAGGGCCCCTGAATGCAGGGAATGAGACAGACTAAATATTATTAGAAAATAGATTAAAACCTTCAAGATATGATTATTTACATAAATAAATGAATTTTGGCGATGTTGATTTTTCAAACATAAATATTTTCCTTTCCACTTGACTTTTCATCGCTTTCACATTTTCCACGAAATTGCTCATGTATCCAAGCAGCATATACATTTACCAAACCCTCATAGAAAGTGAAGAGCATTCAAGTGTTCCCAATGGCTTTCACGAGCTCACACAATGTGTGTTTGTCTTCTAACCCTATCCCTAGATGGAATTACGATGTATTCCTGAGCTTCAGAGGTGAAGATACTCGCAAGAACTTTGTAGACCACCTGTTCGCTGCTTTGTCTCAGAGAGGAATCGACACCTTCAAAGACGACGAACAACTCAGAAGAGGAGAGGAAATTTCACCAGCGCTACTGAAAGCGATCGAAGATTCTAGATTCGCTCTCATAGTTTTCTCCAAACACTATGCTTCCTCCAGGTGGTGTTTGGATGAACTCGTCAAAATTGTTGAATGCAAGAAGACGATGGGTCAAACAGTAGTACCAGTGTTCTATGATGTGGATCCTTCGGAAGTAAGGAAACAAACAGGGATTTTTGGATCAGCCTTTGAGATTCATGAGAAAGATTTCGGTGGGAACATGGAGAAAGTGCAGAGGTGGAAGACTGCCCTGGTGGAAGCAGCAAATATAAGCGGATACAGTGTTCCGGATACAGCGATCGGGTAATTACAACAAATTTAGCGCATTCTTATTGCATTCACTTCTCTCATAATTATATTGTATTTTGGATAATTGAAAAAAAAAAATTGTTGAAAGTTTTATTTATTTATTTTTATATTCAAGTGGGTATTCCGATTACGAAGCGAGAGATTTTGGATTTTGTATATGAACATGTATATGCTCATTGGTATATCATTTTGAGTTGTTAGAGAGGATAGATTTTGTATCAAAACCATCACCACTTATTCTTTCGTGGGCCAAACACTTGCCCTCGTCCTTGTTTCCACCACCACTCCATCTTTGTACTGCTGCTTATTATTTTAGGGGTGCACACGGTCCGGTTTCCAAAAGAGAAGTCTGAAATTGAAGTTCCCAATTTAGTTTAGACTTTGTGTTTTTTTTTTTTTTTTTTTTCAAGGCAATGGTTAGTAGTTAGTGATGGTTAGCGGGAGAGGAGAATCGAACCTGGGATCTATAGGGTGGGGGGCTCTAAAGGCTTGACCCTTTAACACTCGGGCAACACCACCACACCTGACTTTGGGCTATTAACTTTGTGGTTGATAGAGAAAGTCTTTGATAGGAGTAATATATATATATATATATATATATATATATATATATTATTGATAGGAGTAAGTAATATAATAAATATAAATATAATTTGTTAATAGAACCGGTTCGGTTCAGTTCGGTTTTGAAGGACTTGGGACTGGAACCGAACTGTAATGCAACGGTACCACAATTTTGGAACCGGAACTGAACTATGAAGGAACCAGAACCGAAGCACCGGTTCGGTTCAGTTCCAAATGGTTCTCCAATTCCACCGGTTTTTTGTGCACCCCTACTGTTTAACGGTGCTTCGGTTCTGGTTCCAAATGGTTCTCTGATTCCACCGGTTTTTTGTGCACCCCTACTGTTTAACCGGTCAGCGACTTCCGTCTATGATGATTGACCCCACCTTCGGTTTCAATTCCTTCGATCCGAGCGGTTTCTTTCGAGCCGGTGCCAATAAGAACATAAGCAACACCTTTTCTTCGGCAAAGTTGTGTATTCTGATGTGATGGTGTCTTTAGTTTTAGTTGTGAGACATTTTGATTGTATTTGTAGAGAAACATATTAAAGGTTTTAAGTGGTGAGAGAGAGAATAAAAGGGGGTGGTTGGGAGAGAGAGAGAGAGAGAGAGGGTGGGGAAGTAGTGGTGGTGGCAGAGGGTGGGGAGTGGCGTTGGTGGCAGCAAAGGGTGAAGATTGGCAGCGAGCAATGATTAGGATTTTGGAATGGAGATGGGATTGTTGAGAGACCTTCTCGAGGTGATCTCATATAGGTTCTACCCTAGGTAGCATAGACAGGAACATGGTTCAGAGACACGATAAGACATGGATACATTGACACACTAAATCCTAAGAAAGTAGGCACGGGTATGGCGACTTTTGACTATATATAAGATGTCAATTTTTATTTTAAAAAAAGTTCCACACTTTAAAATGTGTTCATATGATTTTCAAGATCACAGGGCATGCTACTCTACGTGTGTGTGTATATAAGAAGTGTTAGAAATGTTGGTCAAGTGTCAGGAGACGTGTATGCAAGTGTCGGCTAAGCGTCCAAAATAATAACATTTAATTTTCAATTATGGACACATACATAAAGTGCCAGACCGTAAAGTATCAGTGTCCACGACATGCATACAACTCATTCATAGAAGTGTTTGGGCTTTCTAGGTTCTACTTGTTAACCCATTAAAAAAGGTCAATTTCATTTTTTTAATATCATATATATTTTTTGAGACACGGGTTGGATTTTTGTTGGGCCACGTCACTTGTGAGGAAAATTTTCATCCCCATAGGGGAGGACCCTAGTGTTGTCCATAGGTTTATAGGCTATTGTATGTGTTGTGGATTATATATATACACACATATATATATACCAAAATTAACATTTTCCCCCTAGTATACCAAAATTAACATTGCATTTGGTTATATATATATAATTTGTATTATAATTAAAAGAGAGAAAATAGAGGAGGTGGTGGCAGTGGAGAGGTGAAGAAGAGAGAACATAAGAGGTGTTGGTGGTTGAGTGCAAGAGATGGTGTGACACATACAATAGTTGTATTAGAGATGGGGTAGTTTGGTAATTTTACCTCTAGTGTATGACGATTGGTAACTCTGAGCAAGAGATGGTGTCAGTGACACATACAATAGTTGTATAAGAGAGTTGATCAATCAATAAATAAATGGAAATAAAAAAAGTTGAGACTACTTTTATTAATGATACCCTAGAATCCTAAGTGAAATATCATAAAACAAGGCAACTTGCCTAGAATGTCATAAATATTTGTCAATATGCTTTAGATGTGTAGTTCTTTCAGTTTCTTATTACAATTCTTTTATATTCATGTTGGGGAAGTTCAATAAAAAAATAACCAACATTGCATTTTTTTATGTTTCTTCATTTCATTATTATTAATTAAAAGTTTTCAACTTACCTCATGGTCGAGTTTCTAACTCTACAGGCATGAGTCAAAATGTATCGTACAAATAGTTGAAGAGATTTTCAATATACTGAATAATACTTGTCCACATGTTGCCCAAGATCTAGTTGGAACAGAGTCTCGTGTGGAGAAACTGGAATCATTGTTGTGTGAAAGGTTGGATGAGGTTCGTTTTATAGGAATATGGGGAATGGGGGGAATAGGAAAAACTACTGCTGCCAAAGCTGTTTATGACCGGATCTATCATCAGTTTGAGGGTAGCTGCTTTCTCACAAATGTAAGAGAAGTCTCAGAAAGACAAGGTCTGGAAGCTTTACAAAAACAACTCCTATCTGAAATCCTTATAGGGAGTAATATAAAGATAACAGACACTGTTAGAGGAGCAAACATAATAAAATCCAGACTAAGTTTTAAAAGGGTTCTTATCGTTCTTGATGATGTGGATAAACAGAAGCAACTAGATGCAATAGCTGGAGAGCATGGTTGGTTTGGCGTTGGGAGTAGAATCATCATAACGACAAGAGATAAACATTTGCTAACTGCTCATGGTGTGAATGAATGTCACACAGTTGGGGAGTTGAATAAAGATGAAGCTATCCAGCTCCTTTCTTGGAAAGCCTTCAAACAAAGTTTTCCTTCTGAAGGTTATTTGGAGCTGTCAAACCGGATAGTAGATTATGCCGGTGGTCTTCCATTAGCTCTTAAAATTTTGGGTTCTTTTTTATATGGTAGAACAACGGATGAATGGAAAAGTGCATTGATTAAGCTGCACAGAATTCCTAACAAAGACATTCTTCAAGTGCTTAAAATCAGTTTCGATGGACTGGATGAAATGGAGAAAGAAATTTTCCTTGACATTGCATGTTTCTTCAAAGGGAAACACCAGTGTTTTGTAACAAGAATACTCGACAGTTGCGGCTTCTGCCCTGGGATTAGAATACCTGTTCTTATTGAAAAGTCTCTCATAACTATTTCAAAAGATCAGTTTTGGATGCATGATTTGATACAAGAAATGGGTTGCTATATTGTTCGTCAAGAATCTCAAGAGTCTAGAAAATGTAGCAGATTGTGGCTTCAAGAGGATGTTTGTTATGTGTTGACAGAAAATACGGTAAGATAGCTTGTGAAAAATCAGTCATTTTACTAACAGACATTTTATTAAAGAAGCCACATTTTGTAATCCTAACAGACATTGTATATTTACCTTTTTACTTGTGCTCTCTGTTGTTAGGGGACAGAAAAAATTGAAGCCATATGCTTGGAACTGCCTGAACCAAAAGTTTTTGACCTTAATTCTGAAGCCTTCACAAAGATGAAGAAACTAAGGCTGTTCAAAGTCCACAATGTGGTGTTCAGTAAAGGCCCTGCATATCTTCCAAATGAGTTGCGGTTGCTTGATTGGCATGCATACCCTTCAGACTGTCTGCCAGCAAGTTTTCAGGCAGAGAATCTTGTTGAACTGAGGATGTGTTATAGCAGCATTAAACAACTTTGGAAGAAAATAAAGGTTTGTTTAATATTATATATTTTTTAACTTTATTGAATATACTTTTCGTGTTCATGGGAGCCAGTTATTCTAATACTTTCCATTTGTTTCAGCAGCCTATGGCCAAGTTGAAAGTCATCAATCTTAGTCACTCCCATAGGCTATCCAGGACCCCGGACTTCACAGTTATTCCGAATCTGGAAACACTAATTCTTGAGGATTGTACGAGTTTGGTAGAGGTTCACCCATCCGTTGGAGTTCTCGATAGGCTTGTTGTTCTAAGTTTGAAAAACTGCAAAAATCTGAAGAGATTTCCAAATGGTATTCACTTGAAATCTCTTGAGACTTTAATTCTATCAGGCTGCTTGAAATTAGAAAAGTGTCCCGAAATCTTGGGGGATATGGTATGTTTATCAGAACTTTATTTGGGTAGAACTTCCATAAAAGAACTGCCATCATCAATTGAACGTCTCACTAGCCTTACTTTGATGGATTTGAGCGAATGCAACAATCTTTCAACTCTTCCATTAACCATTCGTAGGTTGAGATGTCTAAAAACTCTCATCCTCTCTGGATGTTCAAAACTAGAAAAGTTTCTGGAAATATTGGTGAATATGGAATGTCTATCAGAACTTTATTTGGATAGGACAACCATAAAAGAACTGCCCTCTTCAATTGAACAACTCACTAGCCTTACTTTGATGGATTTGAGTGAATGCAAATACCTTACGAGTCTTCCAGGAACCATTTGTAGGTTGAGTTGTCTAAAAACACTGTGTGTGTCTGGCTGCTCAAAACTTGGGGAATTGCCAGAGGACCTGGGAAATATAAAATGTTTGGAGGAGCTTCGTGCAAATAATACTGCTATCAAACGACTACCATCCTCCATTAATCATTTGGAAGGACTCAAAGTCTTATCCCTTGGCGGATGCAAGGGTACAGTATCATTTTTTTCATCTTGGTTTTTACCAAGGAAATGTGAAGATTCTGTGTGTTTGGTGCTTCCTTCGTTAGCAGGTTTGAATTCCTTAACAGAACTTGATCTTAGTGATTGCAATTTGTCTGAAGGAGGGATCCCCAGTGACCTTGGCAGCTTATCCTCTTTGAAAGAGTTGAATTTAAGCAGAAACAGTTTTGTTAGTTTACCTGCAACCATCTCCCATCTTTCTCAACTTGAATCCCTTGAGTTAGTTGGGTGCAAGAGGCTAGAAGCATTACCAGAGCTTCCATCTTCTATTATTAAATTAATTGCAGATGATTGCCCATCATTAATAAGCTCCAGAGATCTGTTTTCAAATAATACAATACCGTTTGCCACATTCTCTAATTGCTTTAAATGGAGTGAAAATGTGGTTGATATGTTGCTGAGATTTCTGTTTCAGGTAACTCTCTCTCTCCCTCTTTCTATATATATGTGCACATGTATGTATTATGAATACGAATGACTTACTGTTTTCTTGGTACAGAGGCAGCATGTTGTATATGATATTTTTACTATTACTTTACCCGGAAGAGAGATTCCCGAATGGTTCAGCCAACAGAATTTGGGCACTTCAACATATCTGCAACTGCCTCCAGATTGGTGTGAGGAGAGAGATATGGGGATTGCTGTGTGTGGTGTTTATGACTTCGCAACTCCAAACCAACGTTTGAAAATGTGTTTCCATTTGGTAGACCATAATGATAAACAATATAGTCAAGTCCAGGGTTACTTTTGGATTCCCACAAGTACGAACCTTGGCTCCAAACATATCGTGCTGTGGTATATTCCAACTCAGTGGATGATGCATTGGAATAAAAACAAACGGCGCCAACTTGGGGCTTCCTTTGAATTTGTTGACACGAAAAATGGTTCAAGGAGGTTGCCTGCGAGGAAGTGGGGAGCCCGTATAGTGTGTGAGAAAGATGTGAAAAATTGGAAGGATGGGTATGGGAATTTGGGAATCATGGACGGGTCAGACGAAGCAGTAGCAGTGGAAGACAAAAATATTAGTGTCAAGAGAAAGCGTGACGATTCTGATGAGCAAAGCCCCTGCACTAAGAGAGAGCATGTATTTTGAGATGGCACCACAATTGTCAATTAATGATAGTCACAGCATGTTGTCAATGTTGTGACTATCATTAATATTTCTTCTTCTATCTATATATATTTTCTTCTGACAAAAATTAACTGTAATCTTCATCTCTCTTTATGATTTGTTCTAACTTCACACCATTGTTGAACTTTGTTTTAGAAAAACAACTCATGTCTGCTATCTTATTAGAAAGTTGACATTCAGTCAAGAGGGTTTAAATTGACATTCTTAGTCAAATTAACATTTTTTCCTAAAATTCAAAATTATACTATTTTTCACCGACTAACATTTGATTGTTGGAACAAATTTGCACCGAAAAAGTATTGAATTGGTATTTGAGTTACAAATTCATCCCACATTCTCAATTTGCAATATCGTTTTATAAACAAAATGTGCGCAATCAATTTTTGAGTCGATGATTCATCAAAGGCTTTTTTTAGTGTGTACTCCTTTGGTTCTATAATTTAATTTTTTAAAAGAAAATACAATTAATGCATTGTTTTTTTTTAAAATTATTATGTTGTCCTTTTAAATTTAAAAGTGTATGTAATTATGTTGTGAGATGTCTGAAAATTCAAAGGGTAATTATGAAAAAATAGTATTTTCTTTTGTTGTGCATACATAATACGCGTCGACGCGAGCACATCATGAATGGCTTGTCACTGTACTTCTTCACTTTGTATTAGTGTATGTTTAGGTAATTAGGAATTAGTTTTTTGTTATACCAAATGATTTAATGATTATTAAATATAAAATAAAGGTTAAAGTGCACAAAAATCCTAAACCATGTTTAAATTTGCGAATAACCTCCTAACTATATTTTGTGCATAATAGTGCAAAAAATCCCTAAACTATGTTTGAATTTGCGAATAACCCCCTAAACTATATTTTGTGCATAGTATTCCCTAAACTATTGCATTTTGTTACAAAATACCCTAATGCCTATATTATATTATTTCATTAAATAATCATAATGTCTATTCTTAATGAATTACACTTAATTTATTTTTCTTATAAAAATAAATTATGAAAAGAAGAAAACATACTAATTTGACAACATATTCTCTATTAATTTTTTTTTTTAATTTTTCATGAATATATTAAATGAAAAAGAAGGTATTTTTTATTTAGGTAATTTATTAATTTTTCATTAATATATTATATATTGTATGAAAAAGAAGATATTTTCCTATGGTAAAAAATTTTAAATTAATTGGCTATAATAAGTTTTATTATAAATAATAAAATTTTAATATTAAGTTAATCATTTTAAAAAATGTTACTTACAAATTTATTTACTACCCCGTATCTTCTTCTTTTTTCATTTTATGATAAATTGACATTAATAATAAAATTAAGTTAAATAATATAATTATAATTTAGATAAGAGAAAAGATATATCTCACGCACAATATATACAGAAAGTGAAGTTCGAAGTGTTCCTTCTACCCTTCAAATCCTTCACACAATCCACAAGTTTGTTTGGTACCCAATGGCTTCCACCAGCACACACACAGTGTCTTCCTCTTCAAACCCTAACCCTAAATGGAATTACGAGCTATTCTTGAGCTTCAGAGGTGAAGACACTCGCAAGAACTTTGTAGACCATCTGTTCACTGCTTTGTCTCAGAAAGGAATCTACACCTTCAAAGACGACGAGCAACTCAAGAGAGGAGAAGAAATTTCACCAGCACTACTCAAAGCGATCGAAGAATCTAGATTCGCTCTCATTGTTTTCTCCAGAAACTATGCTTCCTCCAAGTGGTGTTTGGATGAACTCGTGAAAATCGTTGAGTGCAAGAAGACGATGGGGCAAACAGTGGTACCAGTGTTCTACGATGTGGATCCTTCGGAAGTGAGGAAACAAACAGGGAGCTTTGGATCAGCCTTTAAAATTCATGAGAGAGTTTTCAGTGGGAACATGGAGAAAGTGCAGAGATGGAAGAGTGCTCTGGTGGATGCAGCAAATATAAGCGGATATAGTGTTCGGGATACAGCAAACGGGTAATTACCACAATACTCGCATTTTGAATAGATCGTGTATTGGATGATTGAAAATTAAAAATACAATTTTGAATATTTATTTTTTAAATGAAGTTCAGAAAAGAGGCATTTTTTAATTAACAGTCTTTAATAACTCTTATCAGAACTCAAATTTTGATTTTTTGGTTAACAGTCTTTAATAATTCTATCAGAACTCAAATTTTGATTATATATATATATATATTCCTGAATTACTGGGGATTCATATTCATATGCACATGACTATATACACTTACATCTAACGCCTGTTCAAATTTGGGATTGTTCAGCCCTAGTTTAAACATGAAATGACCAATAATACCCGTTATGAAATGACCATTTAAGCCCTAGTTTGAATCCCAAATAATACCAATACTAAAGGTTGAATACCTCTGACCATATTGTAAATAAGGTTAAGTTTGGTATTGTCAATTTAAATATAGTTTGAATCTTGGAATTTGGCTCTTAAAGAAGGCAGCGCTTGTTCGTGGGTCTTCTTCATTGTGGATATTTCAATTACTAGGCAGGAGAGAGAGAGAGAGAGAGATTGTTCATGGGTCTTCTTCAAGTGGGTATTCTGATTACATAAATATGAAATACTATATGTATTGTGGCTTGTATTTATGTAATACTATATATATTTACATATGTACCATAATTAACATTGCATTTTGATTTTTATATACACACACACACACGTATTGTGTAATATATAGTATATATATATATATATATATATATATATATATATATATGTATGTATTATAATTAAAAGAGAGAAAATAGAGGTGCCGGCGGCAATGGAGAGGTGAAGAAGAGAGAACATAGGAGGTGGTGGTGGTGGTGGTGGTGGTGGTGGTTGAGTGCAAGAGATGGTGTAAGTGAGCCAGGGCAATTTTGTCTTTTTTAAAATTTTGAGTTGCTTATGTCACAGCATGACAATAGAATGGTTATATTAGAGATGGGGTAGTTTGCTGATTTTACAGCTACCGTTCACAAATCTGACAACTTGTAACTCTGACAGGTGTGTCGCAATTATATTTTAAAAAGTTTAAGCCAGGTAATAAAGACAGACCTCAGGAGTGGTTAGAGGTATTCACCCTTAATTTTAATATACTACATACATATTTCTTGAGCAACATTGGCGCTTGGGTTTGTTAGAGATGTAAAAGTATACTTTACATACATATTTACTGGGCAACATTGGCGCTTGGGTTTGAGAAAGAGATATAATTAGGGAGTGGGCATGTTCTGATATCACTTGTAACAGGTTTGTTGTTACCATCCAATCCAAAAGTGTAAGATGTTAAGGTGGTGCTTCCTACCGACCATAGCTTTGGCACATCGCTTAGCCCCATTCATCTTCGGGGCAAGTGCGCTCGATGAGTAAACTATTACACTCTCTTTCAAGGGTGATTGGTCCATGCAACCCTTATAAGCCCAAGACCCTCCACATTCGCATCCAATGTGAGACAAGACCCTTGTGACAATTAGCCAATTTGCAGTATAATTGGTTAACATACTCAATGTTAATTTGGCTTGCACAAAACACCACAGTCATAAAGAGAAGGGTAAATTACTCTAACCTCCCTTGAGGTTTGGAATAATATTGCATAGATGAAACTTTTGCAAAAATAACTCTATAACTCTTACATCCCTTGTCAGAGTTTATTGGATAAATGTTGTTAACTTTATTAATGTGATTGACGTTTTACCCTTAATATCTTTAATAGTTCTTGAATAAAAAAATTTAACAAGAATAAGGAAAAATTAAAATGCCATCGCTCCCTTTCAAAACCTTTTATGTTTCTCTAATATCCATCTGACCATTTTCTTCTATTTACTGTTTTCTCTCTCTCCACCGCCACTCTCTAAACCCTACCTCCACCACTCCCCCTCACCAATGTCGCGACTCTCTCTTTGTCATGACTCATGACCCGCCATGTAGATATTGTCTGCTTTGCACACTCTCCTCTCGGTACCCACGGTTTTGCTCAAAACATGTCTACATGGTTAAGGGGGTGTTCACATATTTAAGTCTCAACAACTTCTCCCTCTTAGGCGATGTGGGATGTCACAATCACCCACTCTTGGGACCCAATGTCCTCGCTTGCCTGACCCGCATGGGCTTGTGCACGCCCCCCTTTTTTGGCTGAGGATTGGCTCTGATACCATTTGTCACGACCTGTACACATCGTGTAGATATTGTCCGCTTTGCACACTCTTTAATAGCTATTTCTTCAATGAAAGCTGGAAATACATCAGAAAAACAAATTGTATCTTTTCTCTGCATTGCATACTGAGCTACATCATGAGCCATTCTATTAGCTTCTCTCTTGACCCACTCTATCTTCCACTGATCATGCATTTGTTGATTAACACAAATATCCTAATAAATGGATGCAATGCTCACTGCAACATTCTTCGGCTGAATCACTAATTTGCAGTCTCCCTCAATCACCACCTCAGTTAACTCCCATGCTACTGCCCACTTCAAGGCTAATCTAGTAGACATAGCTTCAGCTACTAAGGCTGTTGCCACCATAGGGAAGAAGTGAATGACCACTTTCAAAACCTTTCCATTCGAATTCCTGAGGACTAAACCAGTTGCAGCCTCCTTTGTTTTTTTGTTTGAGCTCTAAAAGCTGCATCAAAATTCAATTTGAGCTTACCATCTGATGGTGCAATCCATCTTACCGGCTGCTTGTTCAAACCATCTCCATTTCCAATACCACCTGCAGTGTCATGACTATTACCCAACACATCCTTAAACTCATGCCACTGTTGGGTTGCAAGCTGAACCAGAACTCTTTCCTCAAAGACTTGCTGATCAAAATAAAATTTATTTCGACTTCTCCAAATATGCCAACAAATATACACCACCAGACTTTAATTGTGCATCTTTTCAGCGGATTTCTCCCATAGTTTCAATAGGCTGCAAAACCATTGAACCCTAGAAGAAGCAGTAAAAGTACTTGGTCCAGTCTAATTGGGCACAGCTTCCAGACTTTGACTGCATATGGGCCCCTCAGCATAACATGGTCTATAGATTCCACCTCTAAACCACATCTCAAACATGCATCATCTTCTACTATTATACCTCGTTTCTTTAGATTTGATGATACGGAAATAGTCCCATAATAAAATGGATCAATTTTTCCTTCACCTTCAGATTCCATAGCCGACTCCAAAAACCATGAGCATTTGCACAATCCCCAATCCTCCTGGCATATCCGGAACTGTGATGTGGACCTTGCAGCCATTCAAATACAATTCTTTAAGCAGATTTAACCATAAAGTTTCCATCATTAGTGAAGTGCCACACTAGTCTATCTTTAGCATATGTCTCACTTACAGGAATAGTCAGGATCTTCTCTACCTCTGTTGAATTAAAGAGTTGTGCTACAAGTGATGTGTCCCAAGATCTTGTTTCAGGATTCAACAAATCTCTAACAAATTTAACAGAGAAACCTTCAGGACAGGTTGAAATAATTTTGAATCTTGGCAAATTTGGAACCCAAGGGTCTGCCCATACATTAACACCATCACGTGTACCCACCCTCCATCGCAAACCTCTCTTGAGAACCTCTCTGCAACTACACATGCTTTTCCAAGCCCAGATGGAGCTCTTTCTTACTCTAGCCTCCAAAATAGAAGTCTCCAAAAAATATTTACCTTTGTAAATTCTTGACAACAAGTTACCATCTTCAACTGCAAGTCTCCATCCTTGCTTGGATAATAAGGCAAGGTTGAATGCCTTATAGATGTCCAAACCCCAGACCACTGTCTTTCTTAGTTCTACACAACTGATCACATTTCATCCAACATATCTTCTTTCCCTCCTTAGGCCCTGCCCACCAAAAGTGCATATTCTTTTTACTTAATTTTCAGTGTATCCCAATAGGAATCTTAAAGCAACTAATTGTGTACGTGGGGATGGCTTGAAGAACAGATTTTATTAGAGTCTCCTTCCCAGCTGCGGAAAAGAAACAATCCTTCCACTCATTGATTTTTGCCACCATTCTGTCCTCAAGATACTGAAAGATTTGCCTTTTTGACCTTCCAATCTCAGCAGGTAAACCCAAGCATCTATCAAAACTTCCTCCAGCTCAAACACCCAACCTTCTACTCAATTCAATTATGTCATCAACAGTTACATTTGAACTAAAAATAATAGATGACTTTATATAAATTACTTGCTGTCCATTTAATTCTTCATATCTGAGCAATATCTGTCTCAACACATTCAATTCACATAAGTCAGCTTTACAAAATTCTAAAGAGTCGTTGGCAAAAAGCATATGCGACACAATAGGACAACTCCTATGCATCTTGATACCAGGAAAAACTCCATCTCGGATTGCTTGTTGAATTAATTTAGTTAAACCCTCTACACACAAGAGAAATAGCTAAGGTGCAAGTGGATCGCCTTGCCGAAGTCCTCTAGAGAGCACAAAAAAGATCCCCTGCACAACCATTCTCCAAAACATAATAGGATACAGTACCAACAATAACGAAACGAATACATCTATCATCAAATCCCAGGATGTGCAAAACCTTCTGGACATAAACCCCATTCCACCCTATCATATGCCTTTGCCATGTCAAGCTTAACCACCATAAATTATTTTTCCTCCTCCTCCTAGTTTTAAAAATGCACCACATCATGTGCAATAAGTATATTATCGGTGATCAACCTATATGGAACTAAAGCACTCTGCTCCTCACTAATGAAGAGTCTAACAACTACATTGCACAATGAAATGGGCCTAAATTGGGTAATTATCATCGGCACTTTCACTTTTGGATCTAACACAATATTGGTTGAATTTAAACTTTTAAGCAACTGACCATGCAATAAAAAATCATTTAAGGCATTTACCAAGTCATCTTTCACCACCCGCCAATTCTGCTGAAAGAAAATTGGAGTCATTCCATCTGGCCCAGGAGCTTTTAATGGTGCCATGTCCATAAGAGCTTGATACACTTCAACTTCAGAAGCTTCCCTCAATAGTTGGAGATTCATTTCATTTGTAATTCTGGGTTCCCACAGGCTCCAAACATCATCATCATTCACTGTTCCTGTAGAAGTAAACAAAATTTGAAAATAATTCTCAGCTTCTCCTTGAATTTCCTGATCCGAATCAACCCAATGACCTTGAGTATTCTCCAGCCCCTTAATTACATTTCTACTCCTTCGTCTCATAGTGGCTGCATGAAAAAATCTGGAATTTCTATCTCCAAGTAACACTCACTCTTTTCTGGATTTTTGTCGCCAAAACAGCTCTTCCTTTTTCCATACAGCATTTATTTCTTTCTGTCATCTAGAACACTCCCCTGCCTTGTAGTCAACCTCATTTTCCTTTGCCTCCTTCAGGCGAGTCTCCAATTGTTTAATTTCCTCCTGGGAATTCCAATTTTTCTGCCGATTCCACTTGCCCAGTTCAAACTTACAATTTCTCCTTAAGCTTATATTGTAAAGTACCATGTCCCCTTGAACACCAAGTTTGTTCAACAACTTTACTGAATTTCTCATCTTTTAACCATCTTGCATCAAATTTGAAAGTCTTCCTTTTAGGCCCCTTTTTCCATGACAAATCGAGTATAATAGCTGCATGGTCCAAGCCAACCACAGTTAAATGTTGCACTGCTGTACCCGGAAAATGAACCCTCCAATCAATAGTTGCAAGTGCTCAATCCAACCTTTCATTCACATTTGCTTGCCCATCCCGATTATTTCACCAGGTAAATGGATATCCCGAATACCAAATTACAGCTTTCCACCATCTCTCTAAAATATGTGCATGTATATCATACACATAAACATTCCATATATATGTATGTCTGTCGGTTGAATTCTATATCCGTAAAAACTACAAAAATAAATATGTATTTTCGGGTTTTCTTTTTCCCACTAAGTAACATTAAAGGGTTAATATTAGTATTAAGTATTAAAGTGGTTAATTTGTATTTTTACACTGATTAGTAGGGATAGTTGAGTTAATTCAATTCATTAAAGGGCAATTTTGGTATTTTTTAAAAAAATTGTGACATTGACTGTGTTTTCATAAAACCTTGAGGGAGGTTGACTCAAATTTTTTTCAAAACATTTATGTGCTGGTGATTACTCCAAACCTTAGGGGAGGTCAGAATAATGTACCCTAAAAGGAAAGTAAAATCAGAAGGGGAAAAAATCAAAGTAGCACACACCAAAAACTATAATTAATCTATTTGTAGCAATCGTTCGCATACCTAGAATGATTTAATATAGGAATAGTAAATTATTTTTTCTTCACATGTTCAAAATCCTCCTTTACAAATACTTTTTCTTCATGTGACTTGAACTCAATTATCTCTTATCTGAAATCAATTTACATTTGAATTTCTGGATCAACATCTGGATAGACTTTTCGAATTTGTTTGTTAGTCTATTGTTATATCAGCAGTCCTTTCACCCACCCCCTTTTTATTATGTTCCCGGCGCTGAGGCCAGTCTTTCATCCTTGTGGACGGTAATAATGATACCTTAGAATCCTAAGTAAAACATCATCTGTCATAAACCAAGGCAACTTGCCTCGAATGTCTTAAATATGTGTTGATATGCTTAGATGTTTAGTTGTTTCAGTTTCTCATTAAAGTTCTTTTATATTCGTATTGGGGAAGTTCAATAAAAAATTAACCAGCATTGCATTTATTAATGTTTCTTCATTTCGCTATTATTATTTTCAAGTTTTCAACTTACCACATGATCAAGATTCTAACTCTACAGGCATGAGTCAAAGTGTATCGTACAAATAGTTGAAGAGATTTTCAATGAACTGAATAATACAACTCCACTAGTTGCCCAAGATCTGGTTGGAACAGAGTCTCGTGTGGAGAAAATGGAATCATTGTTGCGTGAAGGGTTGGATGAGGTTCGTTTTATAGGAATATGGGGAATGGGGGGAATAGGAAAGACGACTATTGCAAAAGCTGTTTATGATCGGATCTATCGTCAGTTTGAAGGTAGCTGCTTTCTCTCAAATGTTGGAGAATTCTCAGAAAAAAAAGGTCTGGAAGCTTTACAAAAACGACTCCTTTCTGAAATCCTTATAGGGAGTAATATAAATATAACTGATACGGTGAGAGGAGCCAACATAATAATATCCAGACTACGTTTTAAAAGGGTTCTTGTCGTTCTTGATGATGTGGATAAACGGGAGCAACTAAATGCAGTAGCTGGAGAGCATGGTTGGTTTGGCGTTGGGAGTAGAATCATCATAACAACAAGAGATAAACATTTGCTATCTACTCATGGAGTGAATGAATGTCACATAGTTGGGGCATTGAATAAAGATGAAGCTATGCAGCTCCTTTCTTGGAAAGCATTCAAACAGAGTTTTCCTTCAAAAGGTTTTATGGAGCTCTCAAACCAGATAGTAGATTATGCCGGTGGCCTTCCATTAGCTCTTACAGTTTTGGGTTCTTTTCTAAATGGTAGAACAACGGATGAATGGAAAAGCACATTAATTAAGCTACACAAAATTTCTAACAATGAAATTCTTCAAGTGCTTAAAATCAGTTTCGACGGACTGGATGAATTGGAGAAGGAAATTTTCCTTGATATTGCCTGTTTCTTCAAAGGTAAACACAAGTGTTATGTAACAAGAATACTCGACAGTTGCGGCTTCTGCCCAGGGATTGGAATACCTGTTCTTGTTGAAAAGTCTCTCATAACTATTACAAACGATCAGTTTTGGATGCATGATTTGATACAAGAAATGGGTTGGTATATTGTTCGTCAAGAATCTCAATTGTCTTGGAAACGTAGCAGGTTGTGGCTTCGAGAGGATGTTTATTCTGTGTTGACAGAAAATATGGTAAGATAGCTTGTGAAAAACCAGCCTTTTTACTAACAGACATTTTATTGAAGCAGCCACATTTTTTAATCCTAACAGACATTTTATATTGTATCTTTTACTTCTGCTTTGTGCTCTTGGGGTTGTTAGGGGACAGAAAAAGTTGAAGCCATAGGCTTGGAACTGCCTAAACCAGAAGTTTTAGACCTTAATTCTGAAGCCTTCACAAAGATGAAGAAACTAAGGGTGTTCAAAGTCCACAATGTGGTGTTCAGTAAAGGTCCTGCACATCTTCCAAATGAGTTGCGGTTGCTTGATTGGCATGCATACCCTTCAGGCTTTCTGCCAGCAAGTTTTCAGGCCGAGAATCTTGTTGAACTGAGCATGTGTTATAGCAGCATTAAACAACTTTGGAAGAAAACAAAGGTATGATCAATATTATATTTTTTAACTTTATTGAATGTACTGTCATGTTCACGAGAGCCAGTTATTCTAATATTTTTCATTTGTTTCAACAGCCTCTGACCAAGTTGAAAGTCATCAACCTTAGTCACTCCCATAGGCTATCCAGGACCCCGGACTTTACAGTTATTCCAGATTTGGAGACACTGATTCTTGAGGATTGTACGAGTTTGGTAGAGGTTCACCCATCCATTGGACATCTCAAAAGGCTTGTTTTTCTAAGTTTGAAAGACTGCAAAAATCTGAAGAGATTTCCGAATGGTATTCACTTGGAATCTCTTGAGAAATTGATTCTATCAGGCTGCTTGAAATTAGAAAAGTGTCCAGAAATCTTGGGGGATATGGTATGTTTAACAGAACTTTACTTGGATAGAACTGCCATAAAAGAACTGCCCTTGTCAATTGAACATCTCACTGGCCTTACTTTGATGGATTTGAGTGAATGCAAATACCTTATGAGTCTTCCAAGAACCATTTGTAGGTTGAGCTGTCTAAAAACTCTCTCTCTCTCTGGCTGCTCAAAACTTGAGGAATTACCAGACAACCTGGGAAATATAAAATATTTAGAGGAGCTTCATGCAAATAAAACTGCTATCAAACAACTACCATCCTCCATTAATCTTTTGGAAGACCTCAAAGTCTTATCCCTCAGTGGATGCAGGCAAACAATATCTGAGTCATTTTTTTCATCTTGGTTTTTGCCAAGGAAATGTGAAGATTCTCTGTGTTTGGTGCTTCCTTCTTTAACAGGTTTGAATTCCTTAACAAAACTTGATGTTAGTGATTGCAATCTGTCTCAAGGAAGCATCCCCAGTGACCTTGGCAGCTTATCCTCTTTGAAAGAGTTGAATTTAAGCAGAAACAATTTTGTTAGTTTACCTGCAACCATCTCCGAGCTTTCTCAACTTAAAACCCTTGAGTTAGTTGGCTGCAAGAGGCTGGAAGCATTACCCGAGATTCCATCATGTATTGCTACATTATTTGCAGATGATTGCCAATCATTAATAAGCGTTGGAAATCTGTCGACAAATAATAGATCACTGTATTCGGTCACATTCTCTAATTGCTTGAAGCTGTTAGAGAATAAATTGAGTGAAAATGTTTGGGATATGCTGTTGAGATTTATGTTTCAGGTTACTTTCTCTCCTTCTCTCTCTATCTACATATATATGTGCGGCACATGCATATATAAATGAATGAATGACGTGTTGTTTTCTTGGTACAGAGGCTGTGTGTCGTAAATTCTGAATTTAGTATATTTTTACCCGGAAGAGAGATTCCGGAGTTGTTCAGCCATCAGAATTTGGGCACGTCATCATATCTGCAACTGCCACCAGGTTGGTGTAGCGAGAGATGTATGGGGATTGCGGTGTGTGCTGTTGGTGACTTTGCAACTGTAAACTTAGCTACGGATATGCCAGAGATGGTTTTGTGTTTCACAGACCGTTATAATAAACAAAGTACTATTGGGTCGGGTTGGTTTTGGATTCCCACTGGTACGAACCTTGATTCCGAACACATGTTGCTGAACTATCTTCCAAATCATTTGCTTCGGAGTGAGAGTGGAGGTTGGAATCCAAACAAATGGCGCCAACTTGAGGTTTACTTTGAATTTGGTGATCAGAGGTTGCTGGCGAAGAAGTGGGGAGTTCATGTAGTGTGCGAAAAAGATGTGAAAAAATGGAAGGATGGGTGTGGGAATTTGGGAATCCTTGACGGGTCAAATGAAGCAGTAGCAGTGGAGGACAAAAATAATACTCTCAAGAGAAAGCGTGATGACTCCGATGATCAAATCCTCCGAGCTAAGAGTTATTTTGGACAATATTCACATTCATGATAAATCAAAGTTACTTTGATATTGCATCATATTGTATTGTTTACCTCGCATGTTGTGGTTAATGTCACATGATGCATGGAAGAATTTTTTTGTTTTTTTTGACAACTCTTTCTGTATCTCATTGCGCTCTTTGTTTGTATTCCAATTGGCCATGTTTAGTTGCAATGCCAAAGTTGCCCAGTTTAGTTGCAGTGTGTAGCTCATCTTTTGAGCAAAAAGGCTTTGGAAGCCGAATGTGGTGATTTGGAGTGGAGCATATGGCCTCCGTGGTTGTTAAATGCCCTACTCCTTTCTTGTTCTTTTTCTTCTTCTATGGTATGATATGATCTATTGGTTGTCAAAAAAAAGTTGCAGTGACAAAATAAAATAACATTATACATTATTTAATGTTTCTTGGTCCCAATATATTTTGTCAAAAAAGTAAAGTAAACTAAAATAAATCATAATCAATAGACAACCTAATTTGGCCCCCCAAGTCCACTATCAATGTTCAAGAAAATTGCAACGAGGCTACACGTTTTATCTTTCTCTTTATCTTGACTTGTTGCATGCAGAGAGTAAATTAGTTTTACTGTATTTATGTTTGTCTAGGTACAAAATAATTTATAAATAAAAATATTATGAATAAAATAAACACCCTTTATAATGGATTATTATACTTGAATTGTAAAAACTAAATTATGAAGATTTAAGAATAACAACTAGACTTATAATTGATTGTAGGATGATGCATTTATGTTCTTGTTTTTTTCTTTTTACTCTGTTCTTATTGTTTGGCTTGACATTAAAAAAAATGAAACGCAAAATTATTTTATCAAACACGATTTAAAATTTTGAAATTTTTGGGAAAGTGACAACAGAAGAAAGCGTGTAAAATTGATTATTGACTCGATAATTAATCAATAGTTTGTTTCAGCGCCGTAGTTCTTCACTTTATAAAGAAAAGAGAAATATTTTTTTAAAAAAAATTCAATTTATGATTATTAACGGAAAATAAATTTTGGTGATTACTTACCAAAAGAAAAAAAATTTGGTGATTATTTTTTTCGACTTGACTTTCCATTGCTTTCACACCCCATATATATATATATATAAGCAATTTCGTGGAAAAAGTAAAACTATTGATTAAAGTCGATATGTATTGCCCACTGGCATTGTGCTTGTTTGTCAGTCCATTCTGGCTTCTCTGTCGCGCTCTTTTTTCGTTCTGGGGTGTGAAAGCAATGAAAAGTCAAGTCGAAAAAAATAATCACCAGTGGGCGATACATATCGACTTTAATCAATAGTTTTATTTTTTCCACGAATTGCTTATATATATCACTCACTCACTCACTCACTATATACAAATACCAATCAATTTCTAGCATTCAAGCGCTCCTTCTACCCTTCAAATTCTTCACAAAATCACAAGCTTTTTGGTTCCCAATGGCTTCCACGAGCGCGCACACTGTGTATACTTCTACCCCTAAATGGAATTGTGAAGTATTCCTGAGCTTTAGAGGTGAAGACACTCGCAAGAACTTTGTAGACCACCTGTTAGCTGCTTTGTCTCAGAGAGGAATCCACACCTTCAAAGACGACGAACAACTCATAAGAGGAGAAGACATTTCACCATCACTACTGAAAGCCATCGAAGATCGAGGTTCTCTCTCATCGTCTTCTCCAAAAACTATGCTTCCTCCAAGTGGTGTTTGGATGAACTCGTGAAAATCGTGGAATGCCAGAAGACGATGGGGCAGACGGTGGTGCCAGTGTTCTATGATGTGGATCCTTCGGAAGTAAGGAAACAAACAGGGAGCTTTGGATCAGCCTTTGAGATTCATGAGAAAGCTTTCAGCGGGAACATGGAGAAAGTGCAGAGGTGGAAGACAGCTCTGGTTGAAGCAGCAAATATAAGCGGATATAGTGTTCCGGATACAGCAAACGGGTAATTATCGCAAATTCACTTCTCTCGTAATTATATTGTGTTTCACTATTTATTTTTTACATATTCAAGTGGGTATTCCGATTACCAGGAGAGAAAGGATGGATTATGTATATAAACATGTATATACTACATGTATATAAACATGTATAAAAGTTGAACAATTTAGAACGTGTTCATATTATTTTTAAGATTACCGGGCATCTTACACTACATGTATTTGTGTATAAAAGACTCTTGTTAAAAATGTCGAAAAGTGTCAGTCAAGTGTCTAGGAAGTGTCAAGAGAAGTGTCCAGAATTCTTGGCTAAGTATCCAAAATAATAAAATTTAATTTTCAATTACGGACGCGTAGGTGTTCGCGTAGTGTTCGTAAAGTATAGGTATCTGACACGAACACAACACGAATACAACTCCTTCGTAGGAGTATTCATGCTTTCTAGGTTCTACCCATTAACCCGTTAAAAAGTGGCCAATTTTGCTTATTATTATTTTTTATCATATAATATTTTAAGACGTTCTGGAATTTTGTTGGGCCACATCACTTGTGAGGACAATGTTTGTCCTCTTAGGGCAGGACACAAGTATTATCCATGGGTGTTTAGGTTTTTACATATACACAAACATGTACTATGTGTGTATATATTTTTAATAACAGTAAATGTATATAGCAGTGGAGAGGTGAAGAAGAGAGAACATGAGAGGTGGTGGTGGTTGAGTGCAAGTGGTTGAGTGCAAGAGATGGTGTAAGTGGGCAAGGCCATTTTTATCTTTTTATTTGAGTTGCTTAGGTTAGCATGACACATACAATAGTTGTACTAGAGATGGTAGTTTGGAAATTTTACCACTACAATCCGACGACTTGTACCTCTGAGAGGCGCCTAGGGGTGTTCAGAGTAATTAACCCTTTATTTTTATGTACTTAAAATAAGATTGGACCAGGCATGTTTTGATATCACTTGTAACAGATCTGCTCTTACCATCCAATTCAAAACTTAAAGCTTTTAGGTGGTACTTCATACCTACCCTTATAAGCCAAAGACCTTCCCCATCCGTATCCGATGTGGGACAAGACCCTTGTGACAATTAGCCTGTTTTAAATATAATCGGTTAACATCCTGTGTGTTAAAAAAGAAAGTAAAATCAGAAGGGAAAAAAAATCAAAATAGCATAAACCAAAAACTATATGTTACTTGTTTGTAGCAAACCAGTGCCTCGATGATTTGATATCTATGGTAAATTATTTTTTCTTCACATGTTCGAAATCCTCCTTTACAAATACTATTTCTTCATGTCACTTAAACTCAATTATCTCTTATATGAAATCAATTTACATTTGAATTTCTAGATTAACATTTGGATAACTTTTATTTTATCCAAAAGCATGCCATTCTGCTGGCACTTCTAGATTCCCAGATAGTATTTCAAACTCAACAAGTATCTAAAAAGATCTTTCAATTCTTTAAAAAAGTTGCTCAAATGTTGGGCAAAAGAGGGCTATTTTGGTTATTTTGCAGCAAATGTGCTTTCCCAAAATACTATTTCAGCTAAAAGTAACAAATCGAAGAAAATAATCCTAAAAAGGATGGCATAACCAAGTCTTTCACCTCACATCTTAGAAGAAGTTTGAATTTCCTTTGAGCCATCTTTAGAGAATGTCCTAGTAATTGTCTGGTATATGTGGGACAAGGAAACTGCATGTACTCGGTGTGAAATATGAGCTGCTATAAGAGGCTTAACACCACCAACGTTGATAAAAAATAAATAAATATTAAATGAAAGAAAAAAAGTTGGGAGTACTTTTAATAATGATACCCTAGAATCCTAAGTGAAATATCACGTGTCATATACCAAGGCAACTTGCCTAGAATAGTAGAATGTCATAAATGTGTGTCAATATGCTTAGATTTGTAGTTGTTTCAGCTTCTCGTTACAGTTCATTTATATTTCTATTGGGGAGATTCAATAAAAATTCAACTAAAATTGCATAACATTTCTTCATTTCATTATAATTAATTTCAAGTTCTCAACTTACCACATGGTCATGATTTTAACTCTACAGGCATGAGTAAAAATATATCGTGCAAATAGTTGAAGAGATTTTCAATAAGCTGAACAGGACATCTCCACTTGTTGCCCAATATCTGGTTGGAACAGAGTCTCGTGTGGAGAGACTGAAATCATTGTTGTCTGAAGGGTTGGATGAGGTTCGTTTTATAGGAATATGAGGAATGGGGGGAATAGGAAAGACAACTGTTGCAAAAGCTGTTTATGACCAGATCTATCATCAGTTTGAGGGTAGCTGCTTTCTTGCAAATGTTAGAGAAATCTCAGAAGAACAAGGTTTGGAAGCTTTACAAAAACAACTCCTTTCTGAAATCCTTATAGGGAGTAATATAAATATAACCGATACTGTTAGAGGAGCAAACATAATAATATCCAGACTACGTTTTAAAAGGGTTCTTGTCGTTGTTGATGATGTGGATAAACAGGAGCAACTAGATACAATAGCTGGAGAGCATGGTTGGTTTGGCGTTGGGAGTAGAATCATCATAACGACAAGAGATAAACATTTGTTAACTGCTCATGGAGTGAATGAGAGTCACACAGTTGAGGCATTGAATGAAGATGAAGCTATCCAGCTCCTTTCTTTGAAAGCCTTCAAACAAAGTTTTCCTTCTGAAGGTTATTTGGAGCTCTCAAACCAGATAGTAGATTATGCTGGTGGCCTTCCATTAGCTCTTACAATTTTGGGTTCTTTTCTATATGGTAGAAAAACGGATGAGTGGAAAAGCACATTGATTAAGTTGCACAAAATTCCTAACAAAGAAATTCTTCGAGTGCTTAAAATCAGTTTCGACGGACTGGATGAAATGGAGAAGGAAATTTTCCTTGATATTGCATGTTTCTTCAAAGGGAAACACGAGTGTCTTGTAACAAGAATACTCGACAGTTGCGGCTTCTGCCCGGGGAGTGGAATTCCTGTTCTTATTGAAAAGTCTCTCATAACTATTTCAGGCAATCAGTTTTGGATGCATGATTTGATACAAGAAATGGGTTGGTATATTGTTTGTCAAGAATCTGAAGAGTCTTGGAAACGTAGCAGGTTGTGGCTTCGAGAGGATGTTTGTTATGCGTTGACAGACAATACAGTAAGATAGCTTGTGCAAAATCAGTCTTTTTACTAACAAACAATTTATTGAAGAAGCCACATTTTGTAAACCTAACTGAGATTTTATCTTGTATCTTCTGCTTTGTCCT